CAAACAATTCGAAAGTGAGTAAAATAGTCCATACTTGTACGCCTCACATAGTAATCGAAACAAGAGCATACGATGTACATAAAGATCACATCATGATTTGTAGATGTCAATATTTGATCGGGTGAGTGGGGTGCTCAATTCATGATCTTCCTCTCTCAAATCTAAGTTTTCGAGCCGAGACACTTTGGTTATGATGGGCAAGTGGCCTTTGGTATGAGTCAGGGGTTTTCTAAATTTTTCAAAAAATATTTAGGTGGCGACTCTAAAATCTGGTAATGCAGTCCATTTTTGGCATCTTTAATGATAAATGGATTTTCTAAAGATTTGCCTGATCTGGACTCTCATTTGTGTTTTTCTATTTCACATTGCACTTGTGAAATCAGATTTAGAATCACGGGAGTTCGAACTATAGGGTTATCGTATCCAATGAGGCTAAACCTCTCCAAGGAGTAAAAAAAGCAAACTGCAGTTTTTGGCGACTCTGCTGGAGAATTAAAAAACTTGACTTCAACTTCATGATGTGAAATTTTATTTACAGATATATGTTCTTTGTATTGCATTGTATTTGCATTGGTGTTTTAAGTCACTGTGTTTTTCATCTGTTATTCCTGGATGGCTTGCTTAAAAAGCTTGTCAAAAGGCTGGCCAATTGTGGGCTCTGCCATGTTGGAAACACAACCCTCGAATTTAGATTACCGTCGTACTGCTTGATCTTCCTTTCGTTTCTTAGTGTTAGGTGTGAGAGGTATATTAGGTAAACTTGTCGAGGTATCCCTTTTGACCATTCGACCTAGCTGCATATAGTAAAGCCATAGTGACTGTTCCAACATAGGGCAGGATGCTCACTTGTATGCTAGACTTTGTGAAACTACTTGCTTGAAGTAGTTAAATTCTAGGTCATGTCAAAATTAGAACAGGGTAACCCTACCTCCTCATAAGGGTGTTTTGGCTCTGTTTACTTGGTATGTGTTTTACAGTGAAACTGTATAGGAATGCACTGTATCAGTGGTACAGTTGATATTAGTTTGTGGGAGCAGAATTCAGTGGGATATACAGTCTTTCATTTGTGATCATAACTATTGCAAATTCAGTCGAAGTGTTGTTTGGTTTTTGATTATTGTTTTCCTTATTTCTTTTACTAGTTAGTTTTGTAATCATAGCTTCGGAAAGACTTGATATCACTCAAGTTTTGTGGACTCGCTCTGGTAGACTTTGCAAAATCTAAGATCTAGTTGACAGTCAGCCAGCGTTAGTCTCTCTCCCACCAGTTGTTCGAAGGAGAAGAACCAGTCAGTTCTCGCTAGCACAGAATACTCAGTAGTCACCTGTCTGTTCTCACCCACTCAACTCACAAATAGCTAACTCTCCCAGACACGCAATGGCACACAGTAGTCCAGAAGAGGTTGCTGCTATGATGGTAGCTTTTCAGAGAACCATGGATACACTGAATCAAAGAATTGCTGCGCAGGATAAGACTATTGCTGAAATGTGATGCCCATTTGGGGCATCGGCATCTATTGTACATCCAGTCCTGGTTGTCCAGCCAAACCCTGATCTGCCTCCACCAGTTGAAAACCCTCAAGTCTTGGATCCCTAAGAGATACTGGCACAGGCTCAAGCTTTTAGGCCTCTGGCACAGCCCCATGGGGGACTCCATTTCGACATCAACGACATTAATCCGGTTATGATAAAATCGCCAGGCTAGAGAAGGTGCTAAAAAAATCTCAAGGCTTCAATTTCATCTTGGATATTGAAGACGGTTATACCGAGGCCTCTGTTAGATTGCCGGAAAAGTTCAAGATGCCTCACATTGATAGATTTGACGGTAGCGGTGATCCTATTGTTCATGTTTGTCTTTTCTCAGATGTTCTGAGACCAATGGGCCTGGCTCGGGCTTAGAAACTGTCATTGTTCGAAAGAACTTATTCAGACGTAACAGCTATTTGGTATGCCAAACTGGAGGATTCGACTAAACGGAACTGGGAAGAACTATTTGAGGGATTTGTTAATCAATACTCATACAATACTCAGATAGAAGTAACAATTAGCGAGCTGGAAGCGACCACTCAAAATCCCAAGGAACCCTTTATCGGCTTTGTTGCAAGATGTAGGGCAAAGGCAGCCAGAATGATGAACAGGCCCTCAGAAAGGGAACAAGCCCAGTTGGTAGTTCAGAATCTCGAACCAGACATGTTATAACGTATGATAGTCGCACCATTGTCTACATTTGGTGCTTTGCATGAGTTGGGGGTTCAAATTGAATGCGCGTTTAAGAAATGCATCATTCAGAGAACAAGTGAGCTAGCAAAGAGGCCGTTTACCAGGAGTACCAATGCTAGCAATAACACTATTCCTAGGCCTGCTGAGATCAGTATCGTCGCCACAACATCCAAACTAGCCAATCCCTTCGCCAGTGCAACCTTACAACCCACCGGTCCATCCCGAAATCAATATAGAACCTTTACCCCCCTTCAAATGAGCCTAGCTCGTGCTCTTAAACTTTGATGGAAAAGAGGCACCTTAAGCCCCTCGACTCTCGACCTCTCCCTAACCCACTCCCAGCTAAACATGATCCCACCAAATACTGCATTTTCCACCAGCAGCACGGTCACCCTACTAATCGTTGCTATCGCTTTTGTCTTGAGATCCAGGATCTTATTGACAATAAAATCATAGCCCCACCCTCAAAATCAAATGTGACCACCAACCCACTCCCCGTCCATAACCAAGTCCCCCCACCTAGAAATATCAACCTTATCCATACACTACCGCCCACATTCAACCCCAGTGTATATATCACTCCATCCCATTTGCCTAAGCCGGAGGTGGTTATTCCTAAAAGCACAAATATGTGCATGATGGATATAACACCCAAAACCCAATCAAGGTTTGTGGTGGCAGAAGTGGAAGAGAAGGAGGAATTCACCAGAGGAAGGGATGTCTGACACCCAAGTTGTGGAGAAGAGGCCTTCACTCGCGGAAGAGTATGACCCCAGCCAACACATTATGGCTTCGGACCAACCAAAGCCTGCAATCATACTACCAGACTAGCTCAGCATCAATGCCATTGGAGATAATGGGCCTGGGCAAAATCTGGACGAATGGCCTGAACAAGGTCTTGATGACCTGACAGAAAAAGCGGAAGACTTGGAGAACCTCTACTTCTTTGAGGAAGAGGATATGGGCAGCGTTCAAATCGGGTGGTGGGATCCAAGCCAACTTGAATCCAGCCACGGGTAGTTGAGTAGTGAAAAGGAATTCGATATAGAAGAGCAGATGAAGAAGAATCCGAAAGGAGAGGAAATTGGTGAGAATAGCAAGCTGAGGCCATGCCTATGACTGAGAATGAGCGAACATTGGAGCAGTTCCAACGAAAAAGGATAAAGGAAATACAGAGAAAAATAGCCCGGGAGCAAGAGAAAAGGAAGAGAAAAGAAAAGGTCGAGTCAAAAGCAGATGATGTCCAAACCTCGGACAAGCCCAAATGAGAATCTGGTGACAGGGAGAGGATGCCAAGGAAGCTCAGGTAGTATCGAGATGTAGAGATTAAATCAGCTGTGGAAGAGGAGTGGTGCGCCAACGGAGGGCGTGATGTGAATATGATCCGGGTGGAGCCCGATAATGACCCAACAACGACTGTAGGGGAATGGTGGGAGGACAGTAATCTGAGCCTTGCATACACTGATGAGGGGTGGAAAACCGGTACCCTCGATAATACATGGTACGCAGATGAGATTAACCACATGACTTAAAGTGGTCGTTATTTCAAATCCCCATCCCTAGATCAAGCATAACTCTCTGGGAAAGAGGTTGAGAAGTCGAAGGAGAAAGACGTAGAAGAAGACCTGGTATTAAGGCAACTTAAGAAGATCCAGGCAGATATATCGATTTGGGGGCTGCTGATGGCTTCCCGGGAGCATAGACAAGTGCTGTTAGAGGCATTAAACAAGACTAAGCACCTATAGACACCACCACTGACCAAATGGTGTCTTTGGTCACATTTGGGAATGTTACTCCAGTGTTGTCTTTTACGGACAAAGAGCTACCACCTGAAGGGGCCAACTATAACAAACCCCTGTACGTGACTTTGGAGAGTCGGAAGAAGTGGATTCTGGTAGTACTGGTGGACACCAGTTCGACAATCAACTTATGTTTGGCAAGGACCACTTATGCCACAAGCTTGAAGCCAGCTGACTTCACGGCTACGACCCGAGCCGTTCGAGCTTACGACAATACCAGCCATGATGTCAAGGTGTTAGATTTGCATAAAAAAAAGAAAAGAAAGAGAGAGCACTGCTGTTATATATTATTTCTCATTCTAAACATATTAGGGTTACACATACTTATAATAAAAGATTAAAGAAACAAATGGCATAACTACCCTTACACACTAATACTTAACACTCCCTCTCAAGTTGGTGCCAAGATATCTCTCATATCCAACTTGCAGCAAATAGGATGGAAAACCTTACTACTAAGACCCTTAGTAAAATATCAAGCAATTGATCTGTAGACTTCACAAAAGGCATACATATGAAACCCTTATTCAATTTCTCCTTGATGAAATGTTTGTCGATCTCAATATGCTTTGTTCTATCATACTGAACAGGATTGTGAGCAATACTAATGGTAGATTTGTTGTCACAGTACAGTGTCAATGGTTCACTACAAACAAACCTAATATCATTCAACAAGGACTGGAGCCACATCAATTCACATGTACCATGTGCCATAGCCCTGTATTCTGCCTCTACACTAGATCTAGACACCACTGTTTGTTTCTTACTACGTCATATGACTAAATTTCCCCCCACAAATGCATAGTAACCGGAGGTAGATCGCCTGTCATCTATAGAACTAGCCCAATCAGCATCTATGAATGCCTCTAACCTCAAGTGACCATGATTGGAAAATAAAATTCCTTTTCCAGGAGCAGATTTAAGATACCTCAAAATACGATACATTGTATCCAAATGAGGGACACGAGGCTCATACATAAATTAACTCATTATCCCAACTTCATAGGCAATATCTGGATGAGTGTGGGACAAATATATAAGTCTTCCCACAAGTCCCTGGTATCTTTCCTTCTCCACAAGATCACCAACACCACTACAAAGATGGTGATTAGCCTCAATTGGCGAATCAGCAGGTCGGCAGCCTAATACGCCAGTTTCCTTAAGAAGATCCAGGATATACTTCCGCTGAGAAATAAAGATGCCTTTGTCAGATCTGACAACTTCAATCCCAAGAAAATACCTCAACGAACCAAGGTCTTTGATCTCAAATTCCTTGGCCAACAACATCTTAAGATGTGTCACTTCTTCCTCATCATTACCTGTCACAACTACGTCATCCACATATATTATAAGCATAGTTACCTTATTTGCATGACGTTTGACAAACATTGTATGGTCTGCATTGCTTTGCTTATACCCGAACCTCAACATAGCCTTTAGGAATCTGTCAAACTAAGCTCGAGGAGACTGTTTCAAACCATATAACGCCTTTTTTAACCTACAAACTTTCCCAACTATAGACTGAGATGAGAATCCTGGTTGTATATCCATATATACCTCCTCCAAATCACCATGGAGAAATGCATTCTTCATGTCTAACTGCTATAAAAGCCATCCCAAATTAGCTACACATAAGAGAATAGCTCGAATGGAATTCATCTTTGCCACAGGAGCAAAGGTTTCTTGGTAATCAATTCCATATGTCTGAGTAAATCCCTTGGCTACTAATCGTGCTTTGTACCGTTTAATTGTTCCATCTGCTTTCTGCTTGATGGTGAACACCCACTTACACCTTACAGGCTTTTTTTTACTAGGAAGAGAAACCAACTCCCAAGTGTTATTCTTGCTTAGAGCTTGCATCTCTTCTACCATAGCTACTTTCCACTTAGGATCACGGATAGCTTCCGTCCAACCCTGGGGAATACATGCAGAAGACAAAGACGAAACAAAAGCATGATATATAGAAGACAATGAATCATATGACACAAATTTAAAAATAGGGTGTTGAGTACAAGCCCTAACCCCCTTTCTAAGAGCAATAGGAAGACTCGAATCATTGACAACAGGACTCTCAACTACAAGTAGAGGAATACTTTGAGATACATTACCTGGAACTGGCATGAGGGATGATGATGGGTTTGATGGCACAAGGGAAGCTTGCTCTTTCAGACGCCAAGAATAAGTCTTAAGATCAACCCTGTCCAAACGACCACTAATGTTAGGCACCACATCAAGAGAACTATTAGGCTCCCTTTCACCACAAATAATAGTCTACTGATTAAGAAAGAAAAAAGACAACTCGTGTTAATAGGCCATCTCCTCATCCGCAATCTTATCTATACCACTACTACTCTCTTCCGGAGGAGGTGGCGGAGGAGAAGGAAAGAAGGACGCAGATTCATGGAAAGTAACATCCATACTAACATACACTTTGCGAGTGTGGGGATCATAGCATTTGTAACCCTTTTGAGTAGCAGAATAACCAATAAAGACACAGCGCACAGCCTTAGGATCGAGTTTCCCACGAGTACGAGGTTGCAAATGAACAAAACAGACACACCCAAACACCCGAGGAAGAAGAGAAGAGGTGGGATATGCGACATGAAGCAGTTGAAGAGGAATCTGGAATTGGAGGACACTGGAAGGCATACGGTTGATAAGGAAAGCAGCGGTAAGAACAACATCACCCCAAAATGACTTAGGGACATTCATGGTAAACAAGAGAGAGTAAGCAACTTCAAGAAGATGGCCATTCTTGCGTTCGGCAACCCCATTCTGCTGAGGAGTACCAACACAACTAGTCTGATAAAGGATGCCATGCTCCTCTAGGTATGCTGGAAAAACGCCATCAACATACTCAGTCACATTATCATTACGAAGAATTTTGATTTGAGCATTAAAAAGATTGGTCACCATTTTATGAAAAGTTTGGAAATAACAAAAAACTTCACTCTTAGTTTGAAGCAAGTAAATTCAAGTCACACGGGAAAAACAATCAACAAATGTAACAAACCATCGATACCCAGAAGTAGAAACCACAGTGGAAGGGCCCCACGGTATGAATAAGCATAAAAGGAAAAGTACTTCTTTTATTAATTGAAGGGTAACAAGTACATTTATGCTTTACAAGTTTACAAGCATCACAACCAGAAATACTTCTAGGACAATCACGAACTAAAGAAGGAAAAAGTTTCTCTAAAACACTAAAGGAAGAATGACCCAAACGGCGATGCCACTGATGAAGGAGAGAAAGAGAAGAGCCAATAATGCACTTGAGGGCTTGAGATGGAACGACAAGAGGAACGACATCCAGAAAGTACAGCCCACCTTGTGCTCTACCATTGCGAATCGTTTTCCCCGTAGCCAGGTCCTGAAAGACATAATAAGTAGGAAAAATGTCACTGAACAATTTAGAGAAGTAGTAAGACTACTAACAGAAAGTAGGTTAGTGGAAAAAGTAGGAACATGAAGGACATGTGAAAGAGAAAGCAGAGATGAACAATGAACCGAACCTGTTCCAGAGACAAAGGATAAAGTGTGATCAGCCACTCGAACCATGTCTCGGCCGGAACAAGAAGAATAAAAATAGAAAAGACTAGAGGCACCTGTCATGTGGTCGGTGGCACCAGAATTAATAATCCAAGAAGGCGATGATAAGGTACTAAGAGCACTAGCAGGAATACCCATGTTGGCAAAATTGGAAGAAGCGAACGTGGAAGAAGTTGTGGTAGAAGGAGAGTCAAGTTGAGCCATCAAACGCCTGAGAGTGTGTAACTTATCCTGGAAAAGAGTGCTAGGCTCAGAAGAAGGACTTACAGCAATTTGGGGTCGAGCTGTGCTACCACGACCTCGACCTCGAGTAGGGCAACCATTCAGTTTCTAACAATGCTCTTGATCATGTCTGTCTTTCCCATAATAATCCACTTCAAGCGATCTTGATCAACCAGTGCACCCTGACTCCCAGACTGAACTGGACTAGGCCGAGGAGCTCGAGTAGGAGGCGCAATAGTTAAAGCAGAACGATCCTGAATAGAGGAATGCACCATAGCACTACGACGACTCTCCTCTTGTTGGACAAGGGCATAAGCCTCGCATAGGGTGGGAAAAGGTGAATGATCCAACACCTCAACGCGAATTTGATCATACTCTAAGTTCAAGCCAACAAGAAAGTAATACATACGCTCTTTCTCCACAGTTTGCTGACACAACGTGGTATCCCGAGAACAAACAGCCTAGAAGCTTTAGTAATAGTCTAGTTTCTACCACAAACTACTCAACTCAGCATAGTAGATTGCGAGTGATCTATCTTTCTGATCTAAGCACTGAAGCTTCTTCCTCAACTCATACGTGTGCGCATCATTACCTTGTTGGGAGCACATTTGGGTTGCAGCTATCCAAATCTTATGAACAGTATCTAATAAGAGGAAACTCCGACTAGTAGTGGGCTGCATAGAATTGATTAGCCAAGTCATACTAAGAGTATTTTCATAAATCCATTGAGTATGGAGTGAGTCATCACTATCCGGTAGGGGAAGAGAACCAGTAATGTAGCAAGTCAAACGACGAGCAGTATTAGCAAGTCTACAGGAGCGTGACCAAATCAAATAGTTGGAACCATCCAATTTAACGGGACAGAGTCATAACACGACGGAGGCCACCTTCATCACTAATTGTATCCTTAGTCTCACCCACAACCATTGAAGATTAAATTCCTACAATAGAAAAACAAATACCAGCCTAAAGCAGCAAAAACAAACAGAGGCAAATCTACAAACTCAACTTAGGGACAAAAGTTACCTCTAGAGACAAAAACAAAGTCGAAACAGGGGCTGGAGAGGCCAAAACCAATCAGAAACTGAGAGAAAACGTGCTGAAATTGAGGAAAAATGACAAAAATAGAGTGGAACCTTGCCAAATCATCAAAATCAGGTATTCCAACCTAGGACAGTCCCAGTCAGCTCCCAAGGTAGAGGGAGGAAGGAAAAAATCAGCCAAAAAAAGCCCCAGTAGGGACTTCCAAAAAATTAATCAGTTTTTCCAAAAATTAACAAAAATTGGAAAAACATTCAGAAACTCATCAAAAAATTAAAATAAAAATCTAGGGTGAAAACCCATCAAATTTCGACCATGAAGAAATTTTTTTTTTTTTTTCTTCTTTCTCTGTATAGGGAAGAACGAAAGAAATAAGAAACAAGAGAAGAATCTTCAAGGACGAAAATGAAGCTCTAATACCATGTTAGATTTGCATAAAAGAAAGAAAAGAAAGAGAGAGCACTGTTGCTGTATATTATTTCTCATTCTAAACATATTAGGGTTACACATACTTATAATAAAAGACTAAAGGAACAAATGACATAACTACCCTCACACACTAATACTTAATAGGAACCTTCAAGAGCCAAATACTAATTGGCCTATACGAGCATAAGGTTGGATTCCATGTGATGGACGTGCCAGCAACCTTCAATTTGCTCTTGGGAAGGCCTTGGTTGCACCAGATGAGGACAGTTTCATCAACGGTTCACCAATTGGTGAAATATCCATTCAAGGGTGGGATTGCTAATGTTTATGGCAACCTTGTTTGAAATACTACATAGAGAAGAGGATGTGTTCCTCTCCGGGTTCACCTTGGTAGAGGTCCAGTTGGTGCAGTCTATCATGGCGGAGGATCATGGGACTAAGGTGAGCGCCCAATCCATCTATATGATGAATAATCAAGGACACCTTCTCGAATCGGGACTAGGTAGAAACGGGAGGCAAGGAAATACTGTTGCTGGAGAAGTAAGCTATAACCCCTATGCTTTTAGGCTAGGATACAAGCCAACTGCAAAAGATTAGCAGAGGAAGCAGGATGAATTGTGGAAGAAAGTTAAAGCAAAAAGGGTCGGGAGGTAATATGCACTGGTCCACAAGCCAATCAAGGGAACTCTAAATAGACGCTTTGTCCGCCAAGGAAAAGATTTCCCTTTCTGTGGATTTCCAGAGCCATGGATCAAACGGGAAACCAAGATGAGATTCTTGAGATTTGAGATCTTCTTTGGTCACTAGTTATCAAACAACGAAGAGCAGGAGGAGCAGATTGACCCAAGTGTCGGTATAAGGTAAGACATAAACGCCAACTTGGATAGCAATGAAGATGAGCTGTTGGGAATGGCACTGGCTGACCTACTGATGGATTTCAACGCCAGGGCTGAGCCTGTTAACTTGGGGGATAGTGTTACTATCTCTATGATCGGGGATAAACCAACGACAGATTACTCCAATCTCATTATGAACGCAGCCGAGGCTCCACACCTAGTTTGGCAATTCAAGAAGGGCGCTATTGACAGTTTTGAATTGGATAATGAGCCTGAATCTGATTCCCCCGAGTCTATTGAGTCAAAATTAGATTCGAGTCCTTCTAAGAAGTCCGAGTCTGGCACGTCCGAGGGTGGTAGCCCGGGTGCTAAGGTCTTGTCTAGGTTCTCTTTTGCATTTTCTTTTGAGTCGGTTGTAACCGAGGAGCCAGAACTTCTGAATGAGAATGTTGCAGATTCCGTTTACTTCTCTGTGTCGTTAATTTATTGCATTGACTACGATTTTCAAAATTTTAA